GACGTGCTACGGTTATGAGCCGAGTTATGCCGTGTAGCAAGTTTTGTGAGGTGCTTTTTTGATATTTAATGGATCGGATTACATTTTTACAATTTTTTATTTCTCGCCGATATCCGATCCAGTAATTTGGGTCAGTATCGGACCGATACCGATACGTAATATCAGATCGGTCCATCTCTAGTCCACAGTTCCCATATTTGAACTCATCAGCATGTTTCATAAGAAAAGAAAGTCAAGGAACACAGCTCCTCTAGAACCATGGACAATATATCAGTTTAATTTATTTTTATTTCACTATGTATTTTTACAGATCATGTATCATAAAGATAAGGCAGATAAGACATGCATACAAAAATACTTTTATATGCAGCTTATATGTAAATATGTAAATAACTACATACTCAAATTGGAAGTACACATGGCCAAGATACTACCTGCACTGCACACAATCTGTATACAAGCCACTGTGGCATTTCACCTTCAACAGCTTGCACACCCTAACATCGGATCCCTCTTTAATGCTGAAAAAAATGTTAGCTGTGCCAAATACATACATATTGCTGGAAGCTACAATACACCATGCTTCCATTGAGAGAAATATTCAAGTCCATGGTGATTTGCCATCACATCAAATAGGAAATACTAGATGTCTCCTGCATCATTTTACACATATTTCCAGAGAATTCAGCATGACATATGGGGTGTCGTGGGAACTTGGGGAACTGAGTTGAATTTCAAAATTATAGCTTACATAAGTTAGAATGTTTGGGTGTGTGAATGATGGATTAACTTGGGAGGGAGGGATGAGTGAGTTAAAAAGGCTAAACCCCCTTTCACCATAAGGAAATGTTTAGTTTACACCCTGGCACTCACCACTGGCCTGAGCTTCACACTGTATGCACACAAACAAACACACACACAGAGGCACACACAGACAGCCTCAGTTGGGAAAAAAAAAAAGGTTACCATCCTACACAGCTTCCAATAGTACTTCAAATAAAGGTTAAAAAGGAAACATTGTAGAAAAAACACAATACAATGCAGAATTTCAAGGGACACTAAAGGTCAGCAATGCATGCAATTCAATATCTGAATCAACTCCTGGGAGTCAAAGCTGATGTCATTGTTTTCTTCCAGTATAAGGCCACGTGATAGGAGCGTGACGAATCAATGAAGGATATGCAGTGATGCAATCAGCCAGAAAAAGTTGGTATAATTTTTGCATCTGGTTTTCAAGCTAAAATAATTTTTAATCCTACAACTGTTTATAACTTGCATAGTTCACATTTCTGTATAACTGTATATCTCAGATTTCTGTATAGTTTTTCATATTTATATCCTGTTCATAGCCTGTACATAGCTTGTACTCACTACAGCCTGTACATACTTATAGTTATAGAATATTCATAACATACTTCATACCGTGTACATTATAACATACCATAATAGACCCATTTCTGTAATATACATACATATCTATATTATTGCTAATATATATTGTAATATATCTATATCATGGCTAAAGCACTTCTGGATGGATGCAAACTGCATTTCGTTGCCCTGTACCTGTGCATGTGCAATGACAATAAAGTTGAATTCTATTCTATTCTAAAAAAAATGTCAGTGTTCATTGTGTATCTACTTATAGCAGAGTTATCAAACTTTCAAAACCCCCCCCCCCCCAAAAAAAGTTTGCAACACCAGCCCCACCAATCCTTGCAGAATCTTACTAAAATAAATATCTTCAAAACTGCATTTAAAAGAAAAACATCCTGTTTGTTTTCCATCATTAGATGATATTCATTCAGATGAACCTCTTTTCATATTGTTCCCCTGGTTATCCAAGCAAGACAAAAACCCAACTCTCCACTGTGGTTCAATGCCCCACCAGGGGGCCTGTCACACAGTCTGTGGAACACCATGGTTTAAGGGGTCCTAAAACAAAGACCTAGTGTTGATGCTAGTGGTAACTGTGAGAAAGAAAAAATTAAATAGAAAAGATTAGTTTGGATATAGCCTCAAATTTGCAGGACAAAAAGGGTACAGGGATATACCTGCATCACTTTGGCAGCACGTGAACACACCCACATCTATGCAAGTTTATCCACATGCATGCACAAACCCACATCATGAGGTCTTACCTCAGTTAAACGCCTGAGTCTAGTCCTTTCCCCTGGAGTGCAGCACTAACAGAGCTGTCTTCCTGACTGAGACTGTCTCTATCAAACCCTCTTTCTCCCTGACAGAAA